CCTCATATCTTATGTGAATAGTGGTTGCCATGGCAACGGGTGGAAACACACATTGCTTTTTGCAAGGGCAACCACTATTCATGTGAATAGTGGCTGCCCTAGCTCCCCCTTGCCATGGCAAAGGGCAAAGGGCAAATGGGTAATGTTGCTCTAACGTCGAGAATTTTTTAAAAAAATATTCTTTGATAACCGTAATAATTTCATTAAGGAAATGAAAAATATAAGAAATAGAGAGCCCCAAAAAGGATTCTTGCAAACAATAGTATAAGATGCAAAACAATAAACACAACCATTACAAACATACAGTGAGCAAAGTCAATTCTCATAAAGAAATATATATATATATATATTTGAAATTGTAAACGAGATCTGTAAACGAGATCAGTTATCAATACTATCCTCTCACAAACGATATCTACGGATGCGCATAACCAATACATTATCTCCCATTGCAGCCCGCACATATGTGAATTTGAGAATTCCAAACAAGGGTGATATGTGATTGTTTTTCAAAACTATTGAATTGGTGGAACTGGAACCTTTGATTGGAACAAACCAAACCAAATCCTCACCTGAAACTTGATTCCGAAATCAGCAAACTTTTCCATTTATTCTTTTAGATAAGATCCATCCTATCATATTGTGCTGATAGTAGTACCAAGAAGAGTTTACATAAAACACAACAAAAATTGAGACCACAAAATCAAACTCAATTTCGATTGCCTGTTCATCCATTGATTTAGACCGGGATGCAAAATTTAAGTAGACTTCAATGTGTTCCCGACGTCGATGACAAATCGGTATCTGACATCTGTTTTGGCAAGGCGCTCCATGGCAGTTTTCAAATAATCAATTGGGATAACCTCAACTTGGGCTGTTATGTTGTGCTTGGCTGCAAAATCAATCATCTCTTGTGTCTCCTTCATGCCTCCGATATTACTACCAGCTACCATCTTTCTTCCTGTAACATTTCCAAAGTAAGTGCTTGAATAAACCATCATCCAATGCAACCCCATAATAGAAGTGAGTTATGTCATAGGCTTACCCATTAGCAAAGGAAAAACTGGAAGCTCAAGGGGTTTCTCTGGTGCACCAACCATAACAAGCTTTCCATTAGACTTCAACAAAGCAATTAAAGGCAAGAGTGGGTGGACTGCTGACACCGTATCGATAATGCCATCCATTGTGCCCACAGCAGCCTACCAAATTAGCAGCACAAAAGATTAATTAGATCATAATCTAGTTAAATTCATGATCAATGCTACTTGTTTAAGTAATCACCTGCATCTGATCTTGATCACGGCTGACCAAAAACGAATCGGCACGAAGATGTTCAATAGCTTCCTTCTTTTTATTAGGGGAGGTACTTATTACTGTAACCCTAACCCCCAGAGCCTTGGCAAACTTCACTGCCACATGTCCAAGACCACCTAGACCAACCACTCCCACATGCATACCAGGTTTGTCAAGACCATAGTATCTCAATGCGCTGTAGGTTGTGATCCCTGCGCATAGAAGAGGGGCAGCACCATCAAGAGGAAGGTTGTCCGGAACACGAATTACGAAGTGCTCGTCGGCCACCATGAAGTCAGAGTAACCTCCATATGTGATGGTTCCGTCATGGTACTTGGCACCGTAGGTGAGTATGTATTTGGGGCAGTAATTCTCAAGATTGTTTGCACAATTATCACAAGATTGGCAGGATCCTACAATGCACCCAACTCCTACCTTGTCTCCAACTT